AAGTAATAATAAGAAAGATGACTGTAGAAGGTAACAGTATTATATGGTCTGTGAAGAGGATAAGCATCCCCTTTGGACTTTATGGGAAGATCAAGTTATATTAGTTATCAATTATAAGTTTTTCCCTCAAGGAAAGACCCCATCTCATGATGCAAATACTTACTTTGTAAGAGGAAATATGAAGTGGCAAATGAGTAAAATACTAGTTCTTATTATTAAAGAAAAATATTAAGTTGCCTTTCAAGGTTCTTGTCAAAATAAAGTTAGGGGGATTTGAGGAGATCTGTGATGTAATTTCCCATGCAGTTGTTGCATGTTTTTGTGCAACTTTAGAATCTGGGAGATAAAAAGTAACAGTGACAGTGATGCTGGGTGCTATGGCTCATGCCTGTAATCTACCTACTTCGGAGAATAAAATCTTTGGATTATGGCTCAAATCCAGCCTTGGCAAAAAACATCTGTGAGACTCATCTCCAATTAAACACCAAAAAGCTGGAAGTGGATCTGTGGCTCAAGTTGTAGAGCATTAGCCTTGAGTGCACAAGCTCAGGATTGTGCCCTGGCCCTGAGTTCAAGTCCTAAGACTGGCACCAAAAAAAAAAGTGCAAGTGATAAAGTATCAACATGGGTATGTAAAAGAAAACTTCCTGAATTTTTTTACTCTTTTCATAATTTAGTGACCATTATTTGACTTTAATGGAAAGGACATTGAAAACAAAAAAATGATCATTTCAAAGCTGATATGGTCATTTGTCTTGCAACAGGGATTCCTCTTTAGTGGTGAGGTTCTTTGGATAGTCAGTAAGGGATTGAGTGCATTGAGAATGCATTTGGAATCTTAAATATCAAAATCCTGAGGTCACGCTTTGTTGTTCTTCATCTCATTGCTATGAAATTCCAGTGCAGCATCTTTTAAAACTAGGCTGGCCACAGAAAGACTACCCAGGCCAGAAATAAAAAAGGAGCATGAAACCAAAGCATGCTAAGCAGCCTCTTACCCCTTATGTGGTCGTTCCTCAGGTGATAAGGAAAGAGAAGTCATGGAAAATCACACTAAAGTGCAAAGGGAAATGAAAAGATGTTGAATGAAATGAAAATGATGTTGAATGGTTCTAACTCGTCTAAGTCAGTAACTCATCATTCCGTTATAGCTACATGAAAAAGAGAATCCAAAAATATAGGATGCCAAGACAGGAGACGTTGTTTTCCATTATCTTGGTTTTGGCTTAACTATACCACTGCAGTGTTTCCTTCTCTTCTGTGAAGGGGGAAGCGAGAGATGGAAAACGTTTCTTCCTCTTTGTTTATTTGCTATGAAACAGCAATTGCTTTTCTTAATTTAACATGAAATAATTTATGTTTAGTTCTCCAGGTCTCAAAGTTGTTTCTTTTTAATCACTTAGTTGTTAAAAAAAAGAATCATTGGGTTTGTATGTTCCAGGGAAGTTGGAACTATTTTTAAGATCTAGAAGACAATAAAAATTTGTATTAACATCGCTTGCTTAGGCCCAATGTTTCTAAAGTTATATCTCCTCAGCCTTTATGCTTGCAATTTATAAAACACTCATCATCTTTTGTCAACATATGAGACAGACAGTGCATATCACGATTGTTAAAAATGGTTTTGCCCTCCTTGTCTGTGAGAAGAAGAATAACTAGGTTGTGGTCCACATTGACTGTTGCTAGGCAATGTGACCTGTGCCTTTGTTTTCTTGCATTCACAAACTGGGGCTAAGATTATATACTCTTCGGTTGTTCATTTCCATATTCCAGAATAATCCTGAGAGAATAAATGACAGAGAAAGTGCAAGTGTTGGAGAGTTACTTGGCCATTTTAAAAGGCAGAGGCAGCGGGGAGGGGAAAGGGGAGAGAGAAAGAAAGAAGACAGATAGAGACAGAGAGACAGAAAGACAGAGAGACAGCGACACACACATATACTAGAGGGCAATGCTGAGAAGGCATACATAATTAACGTTTTTCTTACAGTGAAGCTGTGGTCTTCCCTAATACCTTTTCTTCGTTAGTTTTACTGGAGTTCTGGTGCCTCATTCCTCTTTCACATTAAGAATTTCAGACATTTGAAGACAGCTATATTTTGGGACAGTTTCATTTAAGGTCTTAAGGAAATCTTAAATCACAAATAATGATACTAACCCATGTCTATGAAAGACAGTCTTTGAGACAAATAATAAACTCACTTTGCAAGAAAACAACTGGCTCCTAGTTTAATTTAAATACACATGCCCTCTAGTTGTATACATTATTTTATAACTCTTACAGGAAGTAATCAATTTTATGGAGTTGGAAGGCAGGAGCAATTGAAGCAGGAGTATATGGGTTTAATTTATGGCTTCTCCAGCTAAGTGGCCTTGGCGAGTTATTTACCTTCCTGAGACTCATTCTTTCATGCCACAAATACAAATAACAGTACCCATGTCTCAGAGATTGAGTAAGGATTGCAGATAATGTAAGTAAAAACAATGTAACACAAATATGGTGAAATGTTCAACAGTGGATGAAAGGAGTGAATGCCACCCACATGTATTACTATGGATAGATGATCAAAAGCCTAAGTCAAAAACAAGGAGAAATAGAATGAGACAGATTACACAATAACTAGGTAAATACACTCATGTGGTACGCTTGTAAAACAATACTAGCATTGTTCATTTAAGGTGGATTGAAAAGCACCCTAAATACGGTATGATGTAAACTGGGATTTTAGATGGGGAATGAAAGGGATTGAAACAAAGGAAAGAGCTTGGACTTTGATCACTCATAATACTTGCTCTAATTTTGTGTACTTGAGGTATAAGAGGACTAGAAGAGAAAAATTATTGATAAAAGAGGATTCCATATAGTAGAAATTCAATAGCAGCAGGCTATTTTTCAGTAGTGGAGTGAGGTATGACTCCGTGGGGTTTACTTGCATAAATTTGACTGGTTCTGTTAAGCTTATCAACATTTATAAGGAGTTGAGCCTAGGGAGTCAAAAGACAAGAAACTATGAAGTGTACAAAATGGAAATAATCTTTCTTCATGGTAGAGAATAATTAAGACATGAATAGGAGCATCAATTACTTCTTGAGCGCTCAGCATGTGCTAGACATACATTCATTAATTAATTCATTTATGCAACTAACGTATTTATTGAGGGCTTATGTGTTGTCATTGTTCTAGACATTGGAAAAACAGCAGGAAAACCACAGCAAGCCCTGGTCATATGAAGGTTATATTCTAGAGAGAGGGGAGAAACAGTAAGTGAAATATTCAGTGTGCAAATGGCTAGGAGATTTAGGGAAAAAATAACTACAACAAAAAGCAAAGAAAGGCTATCCGGAATGGAGGTGGTTACAGTTTTAAATGGGGAGGTCTAGGAAGGCTTCTCAAGGGATGTTATTTCAAACCTAACTCATGTATCTTACCACCCCATGAAGAAATCACTTTGATGGACATGATGCTGTTTTTGAAAGTCTTTAGGGTCTTGAAGAATGTGTGTGACAGAGAGGATTAGGGCTCAAGATGGCTTGTCTACGTTAGTGTCTCTAAAGGGCTCCTGTGGGAGCTGCCAGGATGGGGAACAAGAATGTGGTATGGGAACACAAAATTAACCTCAGTATTACCTTGGTATCGATTTTACATTTTGAAAATCTAAAATAGATATCTTTTCTTGTTTGTGTGTGTGTGTGGGGGGGGAGACAATAAAATTGGTCATCGTCTTCTCCAGGATAGAGAGTGTACCCAGAAGTTACAGAGGATATTTTCATTAAGAAATCCTGATCCTATCCGGTCCTTTTAATTCTGTTACAAGACCAGACACCTCAAGTGTATAAGCGATTTGCCTGAGGTCACATGGCCTGCTTGTGTGTTACAGACCCAGGATGGAAAACCTGAGCATGTAATAGGAGCAGAGCTCTTCTACCTCAATAATCTTACACACCACCATGTAGGATAGGCACGAATCGTGCTGCTTTATGTATTTTAAAAAGGTGAAGCTCAGGAAAAAAACAACAAAAACGAAAAACTATACTTACTCAAGGTCACAAGACTGTCAAGAGAAGTCTCCAGACCCTGTTAATTGTGTGTGTGTGTGTGTGTGTGTGTGTTTATAGATCTCCTTTCTTGCAGCCATCATTTCCCCTTCAGTTGTTTCATGTGTACAAAGTGAAATATGAAGATTTTTTTTTACCTCTTTGACCACCATTCCCTAAAATGGCTATCAAGTATCCGATGGTGGAGGTAAGTATGTGGTTACCATGACAACACAACCTTCACCCTGGACCAGCCTGCTCGCCTCGCCTCCCAGTCAGGTGTCCTGTTTCAGAGCGGGCTCCGGCCTTCGGTGGAACTTCCCAGCGGTGTAGTTTTCCCTCTGGATTGGGTGGTTATCGGCTGCTGGTGTATGCTCCTCTGGCGGGGTGCTTCCCCGCGGCAGGGACAGGCCTGCTTTGGCCATCAAGGCGCCCCCCAGCGTTTTGCACGGTACCCCGCGCTCGGGCTCTCTCGGTGCACGCTGGCTGAGCCAGGGTTCTGTGGCTTGCTCCCTTCTGAGCGTTCCACGGGCAGCAGCCACCTCCGGCTCTTAATTGTGTTCCTAGATGCTGTGTAACGAGTCGAGCCGGTATTTACAGGTAGTACGCAGGTAAATGAGCACCCGCGCGCGCGTGCGCAGGACACTGCACCGAAGGTCCGCCCGGAGCGGGGGCGTTGACACAGAGTTGAGCCCACCCAAGCAGCACAGCTAAATAAAGCTCACCGCACCAGCTTCCTCCACGCGGGCAGGTAAGCACTCGGGCGGCCGCGCGCGCGGGAGTCCGGCTGCCCATCCAGCCCCGCCGAAAGGTCCGGGGGCGGAGGCGGCGGCGTGGGCGCCGAGCTGCGCCGTGATTGGCCGGAGCCCGCGGAGGGGGCGTGGCTTGTCGATGGGGCGGGGCCGGCGGGGGAAGGGGGTGTGCGCCTCGGCGGTGCGGTAGTTTCAGTATAAACAAGGGACCGGACTGGTTCGGCGGATTCTACTGCCCCCCCCCCCCACTTTCCCGCGCGCTTCTCTGCTCGGCGCTTCGGACTCATCGGTGGGCGCGTGGCGCACAGCCAGGTGGCGGGGGACCCGGAGTCCATCTGCGGGTAGGTTGTTGGCTGGCTGGGCTTTTCTTTCTCCTGGAGGGTCCCGGAGCTCCGCAGCGGGAACGGGGCTGCGTGCTCCCGGGAGACCCCAGAGATTTCCCCCCTCGCCGCCCCTCCCCGAGACCTGAGCCGGGCGCTTCGGCTGCGGGGTGCGCTCCCAGGAGTGGGCAGTCCCCTTGCCCGGCCGCCGCGGTGCCCTGGGCCCCGCCGGGTCACGACAGGTGCGGGGCAGGGCAGGGAGGGGGGGGGCGGCCCGAGCTCGGGAACCTGCGCCGGGACAGGCTGGGCTGTGCCCGGCCTGCTCCCCCGATCCCCCCGGGGTCTCTCTGCGATCTCGGTAGTTTGGGAACGGTGACGGAGCTCCAGTCGCGTCCGGGTCTGTGTTCCATCTCGGGCTGCGCTTGCCTCCCTCTCTTTCTGGGTTTGTGTGTGCACGGGGTGCCGGCTCCGTACGATCGAGGTCTGATGCTGAAGGGAGGGCCATCAGAGGTCCTGGGCTTACCCCCGCGGGCTCTCGTTCTGGGCTCTTTCCTACCTGGGCCCGGCTGGCAAACTTGGGAGACACCTTGTCGACTTGTTATTTTTTTTCCCCCGAGCTCGGGTGAGTTTACCCGGGGACAGGTGTCCTGAAGATAGTTGTCATCTGCTGGGGATGATGACTGGTAGCCCAGTGGGCAGAAGGCGTGAGGGAGACCCCTCTTTCTAGGAGAGAACGTGGGAAGGTCTCCGTGCTGTAGGGGAGAAGGCGGCAAAACGGGGGGTGGGGGGGATGGGGCGTGACGCGCCTCCGTGTGTGTGTGTGTGTGTGTGTGTGTGTGTGTGTGTGTGTGTTCACTGGAGCCTCCCTCCCACCTGACCCCATCCACATTGGCACAGGTCAGGCCAGGCCACGTAGCTCAGTCCTCTGACAGGAGGGCACCAGCGTGCCAACCAGCAGGAGGAGAAGGTCTCGGTCTCGGCAGCGTTGTTCTCTTCCCCGTGTGGATGTGTCGCCTTTGCAGATGACTTCGGTGACCACGGTGTGTACAGGTGACTTGTGTATGTGTGTTTGGGAGAACGCGTCTCCTAGGAGTCCTTTCGTCAGCAGCGCCATGTGACAATGGTCAGGAACTGCTAGTGCGCGTGGATCTATATTTAGCAGATGACCTCTTACAGGGAGGGTCTCATTGGTGAATAAAGGGGAAGAGTCCAGGGACCCGGGTGTCACACTCGTGAATGCTGTCTGACACAGTCAGACTCAGATGGGGTGAATAATTTTTTTTTTTCCTCCTGAGAACAGTGGCTGGATCTTGGCATGTGATGACTGTGCCTTAATTTAAACATAGTTAAGGCTCTGGTGGGTCAATCTATGTTAAGCAAGGAGGCTTAAAATACATGTACTTGTTTGGAGATTAGTGAGGGAATGACTGGTCAAATGGTGTTCAGAGCGAATGTAGAGTTGATTTCTTTAAAGAAAAGGATTTTTTTTTTTTTTTTTAGCTGTTGAGGTTTTCATAGCAGAATAATAGTAATGGTAGCTAATTAAACCCCATCATGAATAGCAATGTAACATGGGAAGGGGGTTAGTGTTTGAGCCACTGAAGCTACAGGACACTTGCCTGAAGTCAGGCTTCTGTCCCTCATGTATTTCATTTCAAGTCGATCTGTAGGGCTGAGAATATAAGCCACCAGTGAGCAAGTTTCTTCTGCTTGTTGGCCCATCTTTTGTTTTCCTAAACGTGGTAATCTTTCCAGCTACTGAACATACTGGCCTGTACTTTCCATTTGTCTAATGCAGCGTTCACTCTAGAATTTATTTCTCCTGTGCCATATTTTCAGGTTTTGGCATATGCCTGAAGGTGTTATTGTCTTATCTTTGGAGGAAGAGAATCATCAGAAAATATTTGCATTTATTGTCGTTCTCCACCCCCCCTTAACATCTAATCCAATACATTAAGTATACATATATATATAACTACATATTTGTAAAGTATTTGTTATTTGTCATAAGAATATGTACATCATTGCTAACATTTTTGTTCATATGATCTGAAATTAACTACTAGGTAATCAAGTACAATAGATCAAATAAAACCAATTGCCTACCATGCATTTAGGGGAAAGGCATGGTAAGAAAATAGAGGAGGAAGTCTGGGGGGATAATTTGACACTGGAAGCCCTGGGACCAGCTTTATCAGCTTCCAAAGGCTCCCTGGAAGAACTGGACTTGGGAGGAACATGGGTATTTGTCAGAGCCTCTTAGAGAACACTGCCTTGGAAAGGAGATGGGAATGCAGGGTATTCTGCCTTGCTTGTGAAAACAATCAAGAATTCTGAGCAAGAACTGAGAAGCTCCATTCTGATGCCAAAGATAATAAATGGAATTGTCTTATAGCATTGTCTGAACTCTTAAAGAAACAAATTGTCCTGTGGGAAATGATGCTTAATATTTATGGATTTATTTTTATTAGTGGTTGAACTCGGGTATCCCTTATCCATTCTTTTCACTTTTCCAGAACTATAGTCCCTTTTTCTACATATTTTGTTTTTGGTTCTCCAGTTAAATTTGTATATATACACACATACATATGGACTATTGATAAAATGGCAGTTGTAGGGAAGAAGGAAACTTGGGTTCATGCTAATTTGGAGGCCTGACAAGTCACATGGCCTCTCCTTGTACCTGCCACTCTAGACTAGACATGGGGAGTTGAGCTGGATGGTTTATGGTCTCTTTTATCTCAGTGATAACTGCTTTACTTGTGCTGTCACTTCACATCTGCACCTTGTATTAGGTTGGACCAACTACGGGTGAGGCGATGCACACAAAGATGTTGCAATCTTCTCAAGAAATGAGAAGAAAGAAATGAAGAGAGGACAGTGAAATTCTTTCTGTTGATTAATTTATGTAAGAATTGAATACTTCTTAAACTGCCTTTTGACTTTGTTTTCCTCTTGCGACCAATTTCAATAAGCGTCAGAAAAACATTAACAATTCTGTTTTCAAATTTTTCATAGTTTCTTGGCCTATTATGTGACAGTTTCTACTAAAATTTTAATTTCTTTTAGCCAATCATTTTTTTCCTCAGTTTATTTGGTTATTATTTCCTCAGAAAGTATGTATATATGTTCAGGTTATTCAGTTCAAATTTTATTAGGAAACCATGATGGAAAAGTACTTTGATATGGAAAATAAAACATTAGCCTTTTAGAAAGGAAAACATCTTGTAGACCACAAATACCTACCTATATCTAAAACAGAAGAATAGAATGGGAGGGATAAACATAGTTTTTCAAGAACTTGTGGCCAAAAAAATATATATAAAATTATCACAGTAACTATGTTATGTAATAAAACATGGAGAAAAAAATCTGAATTTTACAAATGTCCTCACTGTCAGCTCATTTTTATGCCAAGATGAATTGGGTATAGAAAAGCAAAATCTTAAAAAAACAAAGAAAAGAGAAATCTTTTAATAAAAATGTTCAACATATGATATTCTGTGATATAGCATAAAATCTATCGTAGATGCATGATGATTCACCTTGTCATATTTGTGCTGTCCTTTATGATGCCCTTTAGCCATATGAGCACATTTAGTATGAGTTGAACAGAATTAAAAATATAGCTTTTAGGGTGCACTGACCACTAAGTGCTTAGTAGTCATTATGGCTAGTAGTGATTGTATTGAATTGTCAAGAAGAGGGGCCCTGCCAGGATTCTAGTTCTTGTGATAGTATTTGATTAGATAATACTGATTTTGATTACCCAGAAGGTCATTTTTTAAAAATTATTTTCGGGAAATGAAATAATTTATTCTGTCGCAGATGGGCGTCTGAGACAACAGGGAATAGGACCAACTGTCTTGATCAGCAAAACTAGGTCTTCACTTATATGGCATGAGTATTGCCACTTTCTTCAACTCAGTGATGTGCCAGAATCACTACACTAATTTCTCAATATCTTTTCTTTAGAACTGAGTTGCCCTTTTTAAAACTAACACCAGCTGTTACTGCAGGAAAGCACCAGCCTTTCAAGACAAGGAAAGAGGAGCCATCTACTGTTAAACTCAAGAACTACATGAGAGATAGCATTGTAGATTAGTGAACACATAAAAAGAATAACCACTTGTCCTGGCTTTCCTCCCCACACCATACTGCTTTATCTCTTAGGAAGATTATTTAATGACTCTGCAAGTTTACTTCGGGTTGCTATGAACTGAGATGCAATTTTATACTTTAATAATTTGCTAACAACATCCCCAAGACAAAAAAAAAATCACAAATCTTATCTTTGTTTTTCTTCCAAAGAAACCAGAGATTCGATTTGAGTCACAATTCCCTGCTTTCTTCAATGAGGAATTACTGAAGAATTTTTTTAAAGATAAAGTAAAATGTGAATTTATTTTTTATATGGATGCCTATAACTCAAATCAGGAAATATCACTTCTTTATTTTGGAGAAAGAAAGGATCTTTCTCAAACATAGTAATTATCTTTTCTCCCATAACTGAGGAATCTATGAAGCAATTGGGACTCAGTTCCAAGGAATGTATTTATCTTGGAATTACTGTCTGTTAACATGCCAAAAGAAGTGGGTTGATTCTGAGCTGTCTACTCCAAGTTATTTGCCTCTTCTTTCTTACAGAGATTGGCATAAGTATAGCATCCCAACAATTTCCACAGATGTTGTTAGAAATCTCTTCTGTATGGCTTCTTCTGATTAGGGAAAGAAATGAGAAGATAATCTTCTCAACATTTCACTCATCTCAAAACAAGCTATTTCAGATAGCATCAAGGGCTTGCCTTTTACTTTTGACCCATGTGCAGATCTACAGTCAGAGACCTTGTATGAACATTTAGTCATTCTTTGTAGTCTCAGCTCTAGTGTGGCTAAAAGGAGGCTACAGGGGACTAGGTAGAGAAGTATGTGAACGCGTTCCAGTTCAGATCACTGCAATTTCAAATGAGTAAAGGGAAAAAAAGAGTTGAGTTGTTAAAGTTGCATCTCACCAAGGTACA